GCTTATTGATTATAAATAAAACCCAGGTGTGTCAAGAGTTTGATAAAAACGCCCATTGATAAAAATTTAAGCGATAATACTGCAACAACTGCAGGCAGGATCTTAGACAACCTGTTTTTGCCACTAACAAGAAAAATTCTTCAGAAACTTCGTGTCTTGGACGACATGTTTGGACAAAGCTCTATATTAGCAATAGCAAATGTTCAGTGACGCCCTTGTGTCGGTAACATAGAGAATTAAGATATTTAGCTCTGAATTCATCACAATCGCCTAATAACAACGATGTATACTACGTACGATGCGTGTTCGTGCAGTGCAGTGTTTTTTCTTCTACCTCCAGATAGCAGCCAAGTAAATTCACAACAAATGAATCAACCCACGATGTTTAATCCACCATACTGAAGGAGGAGAAGAGTATAAGTAGAGGGGGCAAACATTCAGACAGAGCGGCATTTAGCCGTAGTCTCAGAGGGTTTGGGAGAAGAGCATTATCTTTATCCTAAGCCCACCGCTCCTACCTACTTTCTTCGAACCACGCGAGAGCGCGGTTTAACATCGCCGATGTTTTTTCACGACCTCTCGTCTCTGCGATCGCCACTAAGACGCCGCACTGTCACACTTCGATCGTCGACGTTTAATAAGGCATCCTCTGTGCGGCCGTGTGCGACGACCTGCCAACGTAACATGCCGACCCTGTGATCGAAGGCTACTAGTGACAGTACTAGAGTGAAGGGAGATGAGAGATAGAGAGAAAGAAGGGAAGCTGGGAGATAGTGAGAGAGAGAGGGGAAGAGAGGAAGAGAGAAATATATAGAGTGAGAGGGTGAAGAAGAGAAGGAGAGGGTGAAAGAAGAAGAAGAAGAAGAATATAAAGAAGAAGAGAGAGAAAGTTAAACAGAGCTAAGAAGCGAAGAAAAAAAAGAGAGAAGTTGTGTCGAACGGAGAGAAGGAGGAATGGAGGGAAGAAGAGGGCCGGATAGAGAGATGTGGGAAAGAAAGAGAGAGAGAGAGGGGGGTGGGTAGAGGCATGTTTATATACCGCGTTATAGCGGCGAGTGAAAGCCAACGCGTCGCACGTCAACGCGCGTAAAATTTGACTTCATCTTCGTGGATACGTCACGTGACGGGGTGCTGTTAACGAGTCAGTGGCTAGTTCGCGCCCTTCTGTCGCGCTTGAAGCGCCGCGAAGGCCCTTGGTCGCCCAGGCGCGAAGATCTTGGTAAACATGTATATGCGTGAAGTATAATACCGGTGGGCTTTTTAAACGCTTTGAGCATTGCAATGTCGCCTATTTTTTAATACACGCCTATAACAAATTATTAAACTATATATACCGGTGATTTTTTTGCGCGCTTCAAACACAACAAATTTTGTTGCTTTCTCACACGCTTTTTACGTAAGAAGAACCGCGATGCTCTTGCTCGTTGCTTGTTGTTTGCTATCGTTTCGCTGTTTTCCATTAGTTGCCAAGTGTAAAGCATCGGGCATGCTGAGAGACATTGTCTTGAATGATGAAAGCGTTCTGTAAAATAGGCAAGCCTCGGTGGAATTATTAACAACTGATGTATATGCGTTGTAGGGATTACCAGCTTCCACTCATTAGCATTGCTCCCGCAACGCTGCTATTTTTAACGCTGAGTCTGTATAGGGGCGCGCATTAGTTTGCTATTTAATGTACACCGCGATAGCGCTGCCAATGTGTGTGTGTGTGTGTGTGTGTGTGTGTGTGTGTGTGTGTGTGTGTGTGTGTGTGTGTGTGAGTGTGTGTGTGGTGTGACTGTGTAGTGTGTGTGTGTCGTGGTGTGTGGTGATGTGTGCTGTGTGTTGTGTGTGTGTGTGTGTGTGTGGCGTGTGCGTGATTGCGTGTGCGCGCGTGTGTGTGTGTGTGTGTGTATCAGTGACGGTGACCAGTCCTATTAAACATGTATAGGCCTATCAAATGATAGCGAGACAGCACGAGTTCGGTGAGAGTCTATGTCGCATATCGAATTAGCAGGCCTGTTACTGCCTACATGCGGGCGCTATTTTATATATACTGACGCTTTATATAAATTACGTGTAAAATACTAAAATACAATATATACGCTGGAATCCGACCGAACTTGCCTTCGCACGACAGACATTCTGAGAAGGTCGACCTTCTACTTTTGACGACCTTCTTGACTTCTTCTACGACTTTCTTCTACGACTTGAGATGGTCGACCTTCATTTACAACTGCCATCGCACGGAGAAATTCAATATCCCGTAATTCAGTATATATCGGTGAAATACTTTGCTATTTTGTCATCGATCACATAAACGCCGGTGTCACATCAAAGCTATATCCTACGGAGGGCGGATGAACGCATCTCCTGGCTCACATGCAAAGTGATAATTTCTTCGCGCGTATATATATGTTAAATAATGTAAGCGATGAATAATACAACGTAATAATAATAATAATGATAATAAATAGACGACGCGTTCCATAACACTACGGCACATCGAGGTGCGAATGCC